TTGACTCCTCCAATTTTACTTGTTATATTGGTTAATTTGCGGACGGAAAAAAATATTTCATCAGATTTTATTATTAAACATCGGAATTTTTTTTTTTTTTTTTTTTTTTTTAAACCAATGTAGACTTAATGTAGGACCATTTTATCTGCTTTGTATCCATTGTATCATTTTAGTTTGACTCCACTTTTACCTGTTGTATAGAATAATTTGATGACATTAATATTTAATCAGATGTTAAATAATAAAATCAGATGTTTTCCCTATATAGACTACCCTTGTATCTACTTTAATGTAAATGCAGTATTTATTTCCCAATTAATTCTTCTAGTAAACTTCTGTTTTGCGTTTGACCCCTATATCATTTTTTTTAAGCCATGAAATCCCATCGGCCTCCAAGTGAAGAATAATTTTAGACTTTTAAACATTTTATCTTTACACAATCACTTTAAATTAATAAATTAGTTAAACAATAACATCACATCAGATATATTTCCATTATTGACTTCCATTTCAATCTGCATTACTGTACATGCAATAGTTATTTCCCGATTAATTTCCCTAGTAAACCTCCTGTTTTCCATTTGACCCCTAGTTCATTCTTTTTAAGTCCATGAAATCCCATCGGCTTCCAAGCAGAGAATTATTTTTGTTTCTTTTTCCGCCTTTCCTCCAGCAAGCCTACATTTGTAAATGACTGCTTTTTCTTTAGGAGCTGAAGTTGTGGTCTTTGTCTGCGTCTCTTGCGCACACACTCATCTCTGCTCCTGCCACTATAAAACAAACAGCTCGAAGCCGTGCAGCTGGTGATCGCCTTGGCAACAGCGGATTGGGAAAGAAGCCGCTTGCTACTTTTTTTTTTTTAAGTCCGTCTTTGTGAAGGACCTGCCGCGCTGGAACTAGAGCACTTGAGTTTGCCACAGCGCCGGCTGATGAATGCTTATTTCATTTAGCACGGCAAGAAATGCAAATGTGCCACTTTTGACGTCCCCCCCATCGCTACCCCCAACACTAAATCCTGTTCATATTACCGAACAACACAATTCACTTCATCTCCCAAACTGTTTTGCCTCAAGTTAGAAGCCGATACAAATTAGGTTAATGAATTCAATTTCTTTTATCGTTAAGACCTTTTACCTTGGCATAGCCTGCTATGCGTGATGGTAATTGTTGTTTTTTTTCTTCTTTATACTGTCAATGGATCTGATAAATTCAATTTAATTACTAACATTCCACTCAGAAGTGCTTTGTGCAGGGTTTGAAATATTATCTTGTTTATTCTGTTGTGGCACCTCTTCAGAAAATCATTGCAGTCATTGGATTAAAGTTTCTATATTAATGCAAATAAAGTAAAGGTGATGTAAGTTTTTGGCTCTACTGAAGCATAAAATTCCATGATATGTTTGCAGATATTTAAGAAACATGCTAAGTGAACATTCTTGTTTATCTGAAAAACAATGCTTTTCAAGATCTGAGGTTAACTGTATGCTGCTGCTTTCAGTATTATGGCAATACATGTTAAGTAAAATGGCATTCAAACTTGCAATTTTAGCCTTAAACACTGAATAAAGCACTTGAGGTGTACCTGAGGTGATCACTGCCAGTTTTCTGTTGTTCAGCTGCAATATATCAATTCGAGTAGTCTGTTAGAAGTAATATTAAAAGTAGTTTTTGTTCTATCGCGTGCTGTTGCTGTTATATAGAACAAGATTTAAATCAGCTTGGTCCTCAATCTGGCAACCTCCGCTTGCATTTGTTTTGATGCAGGAATGCAATAACTAGTTCAACCACTGGGTGTCAAACTTCCATACTGCACCTTTATTTGCTCTGAATTTTTTTTATTTGTTTCATTTGGGTGTTGTAAATGAAATGTTGAACTGGCAAGATTTTAAAACACAAACAAATAACGTACTTTTGTCATCATAAATATGTGCCGTGAGTTTAAAGGCTAATTTATATTTCTGCGTCAAGTGCACATGTATGCTTCGCCGCACCCTTTGCGCGATTGTATAGCCCTCGCCATGGCTTTTGCCAACGCAGAAGCGCATTTCTGAAAGTAACTGTCGCAACCTGGGCTTAATTTGTGTAAAACCTCATTTTACCGAAGTCCCTCCTCCCCTGTTCGTTGTTTACTTTCACTTTCTTTCACGACTCCCCAACCCTCTTCACTTTAGTTCGCGACACCTTTGGCCTGTTCGTCACTTTTGTGCGCGACACTTCTCCATCCTCGGGTAGCATGCCGGATCCGTTTCCCCGATCTGTTCCGGGACCTCACAATTCACAAATTAAGCACTGGTCGCAACGATGAATGGTGCAAGTTTTGTGATTGGTTGGCTTGGTACCGTGAAGAGTGTGGGCGGTGCTGAGAGCTGCGAGCCCAATGGAGTAATTGTTTACAAGTGTGGAATCCTGTAAAGATGAAAACTTTTGTTTTGTTTACCTTTATGATTAAACTTGTTGCACGTCCGCCAGCTCCCGCCTCTGAATAAGCAAGTTTTAGCTTCTTCAGAAGAAACAAAACACCCGTGAAGAAACTCTACACGGAGAAATATAACCTACTGCCAACTAGTGTTTCAGAGTTGCTATTGCAGAGCAACACAAACAGCTTGCAGAAGTATAAATGCACAACTACACGCAAGGTGGCTTAGTTCACACCAATTACTCAGCGCAGAAGTAGGAACCAGCCTTAACTCTACAACACAGTTAAAGATTTAGTAGCAGATTTCGGAAAGGCTAAAATTAGCCTGATAGGTGGTTGATGTTTGCCTGCTGTCTGAACGACGTCTGTGAACTTGCTAATGATCTAATCATTTCTGTGCAACTCAAATGTGAGAGCCTATCGTTATGTTCAGACCAAACATTTTGATAGGATGAAATTTTCTTTGTCCTATATGTTTCACCGGATATTAAAATGCATATGAATGCATTTGAGCCACTTAATTTAGGATGTCTGGGCAGTTTTATCGAGCATATTTTATTTAATGTGCATTTTGTCAGTAGAGCCAGTTCTAGAAAACATCCAGCACGTGTGTTTAGAATAAGTTGAGTTCATAACACAGAGTCATAGTTTACTGATAAGTAATGCAAACATCTTGTTAAAGTTGAATTCTGTTTAATCTGTTTATAATTACATCAAGATAATTCCAATAATGTCACGCTAAATCCATGAAAGCCGTTAAATCTTCTGTTTATTCAGCAAGTCCTAGTTTCCCCAAGGGATTTCCTGGGTTTCTTTTGGTGTATTTGGAGGAGTTAGTAAGTTTTGGTTACTTTTACCCCTCTCTAGCCTACGTGTGATGGTATATTTCCCCACCGGAATATGCCGTTTAATTTCAATGTATTTGATGATAAATGAGATTTTATTAAAAACAGTCCACTCAGAAGTGCTTCGTGCATCATTTCATTGAAATGTTGTCTTGTTTACTCAGTTGTGCTGATGCTTCAGTCAGTCTTTGTTTATTCAAGGTTCCTTGTTAATGCAATTAATGCAGTTTAATTGGTTTGAGTCTAGTTTTTATTCATTAACTTTATTACTCTAACGAGAGGCTGTGTGATGGACGTGTGAAGCATTTCATTAAGTTTGTTGAAGGAAATCTGACGCAGCGTTTCCCCTAAAAAAAAAGATGCATTCAAAACTCTTGGAGTCTGTCAAACTTCACATTCAATTGAAAACACAGAATTTAGTTGATCTTATAAGTGCTAATTATCAGCTTTATATATGACAGCATTCTTTAATATGAGAGTTATTTGTAAGTGTTTTTTTTTTAGTTTTTGATAAACTGTTTAATTCTGCGGGAAATGGACAGATTACTTTATTTGCTAAATTTTTTTACTGAGATGAACTATTGTGTTAATCCACAGAGAGGGGGAAAAATAGTTTGTGTCAAGTTCTTTAATGAAAATCTGACTGCTTAAACAGACTACACTGACCATCACATTGCTGTGAGTTAGAAATAATGAGGATTAACGCTAAAATAATATGCTTCTCTTTACTCTATTCGGATTCAGCTGGAAATGTGTTAGTACTGATGTTTGTCTGAGTATTCAGTTCACACTGACTTTAAAGAGTTTAATGTAAATGTCTCATGATGTCATGTGAAATTCATCAAATCCAATTCCTTAATATTTTTAGTTGTACATGTACAGCCCTCACACATTGTAAAGTGCACCCGGGCATACACATTAAAGGCACAATAAAAATGCACACACTGCATGTTTACGTTCTGCCTTTTTTTAATTGTTTTTATAAGTCAGTCCAAGCATGTCTTATGTAATCGATCGTTATTATCAGTCAGGATAATTAACTGAAATTAACATTTGCTAACTTTTGGTTCATATTTTAGATGTAGAATTGACCGTTCACGACTTAAGCACACGTAACTTGTATAAGAATATTTTAACAAAATATTTTTAGAGAATGTATGCGTTTTAATTATATTAGAGAATGTTTTTACTCTGCAAATATTTTAGGTTAGGGATGAAGTGCATTTAGCAAGTTATCGCAGAATAGATCAGCAGCCTGATCTAAAGCGGAGCACTGTTGTATTAGACTTGAAGTGCTTTATTCTGTGAAAACAACTGCCTGGATCTACTTTATCCTTATTACATGGCTACTTTTCACAAAACTTAAAAATTTGACAAAACATTGTTCTGAAACCTAATAGTTTATTAATCCTTTAATTAAATGCAAAGCTGACAGAAACGAAAATGGCTGAATGGAGCATACACTAACCTGCACAAAATTCAGTCACAAGATGGAACGTATTCACTGATGGCGATTCAAACTTCCCAGAAAAGCCTGCATTATTCAGCGGTTGTTATCTGGGAGTAACATGCCCTGGATTGTCGTGACTGACCAATCAGAATCAAGTAATCCAGATATCTACGTAATAAGTGACCAAACTTTTAATTGTTAAAACAGCTTTGCAAGTTTCTTGCTGTGCTGCTGCAAGTGTAATCTAGTGTTCGTGAACACTAATAATTCATCTTTGTGTTCTTCACAGACTCCAGACAGCCTCACATGAACACTGGGTCATATCCCAGGTAAGGGTTTTCTTTTCTTTTTTCTTGCACCATTTAAGTGAGCTATTCTCTTACTGCTTATTCATTGGCTGCTATTGGTAAATAACTACACAAATGATTAAACTATTTCTGCTATTAACCAGTTTATGTTTATCACAATTAGACAAAGTAACTTCATGCTTTACAAGTGATCTTCATCAGTGTAATTAACTACTTATTATAAAATGTAATAAACAATAGTTCATTATTATATGGAAGAATAAAGAATATAAAAGAATCCTAAATTGAAAGAAAGAAGCATTGTTTTTTATACAACTAAAATTTGTGAAGTTACTTAAATGATTTGTGTTGTGACAACATCAAGGACTTGTGTGAAACAAGGTTTTAAACTGAAACTGAAACGCAAGGTTTGCATCACAGATTTCTGCGTAAGTAAATGTAGGATTATTAACAGCATGTATTAAAACAATGCACTGTTAAAACATTGAGGTTTTACTAATGCTTTATTTTATTTTTTTATTTTTTTTGGAAGTTATGGTACATGTTTACACCGTTTATGTTATTCAATATTGCCATGTCAACATCTAAAACAATTACACTTTTGTGGTTAAACTAAAAATGGAAAACACTAAGTTTGCATCAAAGCTAAAGTGGACATTTAGTCGTGGCGAGTTTATAATGTTACTCTTGTGTTTATTCTAAAAAACCAAAAGTTTGCATCAACTAAACATTCACTAAACTTAACATTCAGTCGTGGAGAAGTTCTGCTACAATGCACGAGCATCACTGATGAGAAAAATGCTCAAATTAGCGTAGTTGTTAACTAAAAGTCATAAGATGTCATGCAGCAAATTCTGGAAAAGCCAATTTAGGGTTATTAATGATACATACTCAATGGTCACTTTATTAGGTACACCTGTCCAGCTGCTTGTTAACGCAAATTTCTAATCAGCCAATCACATGGCAGTAACTCAATACATTTAGGCATGTAGACATGATCAAGAGGATCTGCTGCAGTTCAAACAGAACATCAGAATGGGGAAGAAAGCTGATTTAAGTGACAATGTGGCATGATTGTTGGTGCCAGACGGGCTGGTCTGAATATTTAAAAAAACTGCTGATCTACTGGGATTTTCACGCACAACCATCTCTAGGGTTTATGGAGAATGGTTCGAAAAAGAGAAAATATCCAGTGAGCGGCAGTTCTGTGGGCGCAAATGCCTTGTTGATGCCAGAGTTCAGAGGAGAATGGCCAGACTGGTTCCAGGTGATCGAAAGACAACGGTAACTCAAATAACCACTTGTGTGTTCAGAGATGCTCCTCTGCAGAACTCGAATGTAACAACACATACAACCTAGAGGTGGATGTGCAGAAGAAGACCACAACGGGTGCCTCTCTGTCAGCTAAGAACAGGAAATATATATACTATATAAATCACACATTACCTGGTCTGGTGAGTCTCTATTTCTGCTGCAACATTTGAATGATAGGGTTGGAATTTGGCGTCAACAACATGAAAGCATGGATCCATCCTGCTTTGAATCAACAGTTCAGGCTGGTGTTGGTAGTGTAATGGTGTGGGGGATATTTTCTTGGCAAACTTTGAGCCCATTAGTACCAGTTGAGCATTTTGTCAACGCCACAGCCTACCTGAGTATAGTTGCTGATCATGTCCATCCCTTTATGACCACATCTTCAGATGGCTACATCCAGCAGGATAACACGCCATGTCAAAAAGTGTGAATCATCTCAGACTGGTTTCTTGAACATGACAATGAGTTCACTGTATTCAAATGACCTCCACAGTCACCAGATCTCAATCCAATAGAGCACCTTTGGGACGTGGTGGAACAGAAGATTGGCATCATGGATGTGCAGCCGACAAATCTGCAGCAACTGCGTGATGCTATCATGTCAATATGGAGCAAAATCTCTGGGGAATATTTCCAGTATCTTGTTGAATCTCTGCCATGAAGGATTAAGGCAGTTTTGAAGGCAAAAGTGGGGTCCAATTTACAATAATTAACTATTGGTATTTTTTCTTTAAAGAATTCCCATAACTTAAATTGTTAAAAGTGTTTATACTATTCAATCTAAAAACAATGCAAGAAAGATTAAATTTCACTTTTGCAGTTAAAGTTGCATCAACTAAACCTGACATTCGAGTCTGATCTCATGAGGAAACGTAACTGTTTATGTTTTGTCAGTTTAGTGACTAATTCGTACAAAATCTATAGTAGTTTAGTGGTACAAAAATGTATACTTTTAATTTGATGGAGATGTGGCACCAAACCCCACCCCTAAACCCAATTGTAGGTGCATGAGCAAATCGTTTGAATGAGATCGTACGAATTAGCCACTAAATCAAAGTTACAAATTGCAATGAGATTGTGTTGGTCATTCAGCCATCTCCCACAATGCACCTGATCATTACAAACTCGTCTCGGGGCTCCTGCTGTTTGTGCTTTTGCAGAGTCGGATGCAAGTTATTGATGTTCATCCTGGGGGGGCCGCACTGAAATGAGTTTCTCTGCACTAAACAAATGTTGGGCTAAAGAGGGTTTGCGGGGCTTAATGAGGCAGCACTAATGCGCTTGCGGTGCAGGATCTCTTTTTTTTTTTTTTTTTTTTTTTGCTTGGGGGGCCGCACAGAGCCACCATTGATTCTGGCTCCAGACCCACTTCAGCCACTAATCAGCTTCTTTTGCTCCAACTTTTTTCGGCCCCGCAGCCCATTGTGGCCCTGTGTCACCTCAGGTCAGTAGTTATTAGAGCGCAGTTTTTGGGGACGGAGCCCAAAGAAGGAAGCTGGAGAGCAGGGATTATGGATTCCTCTGGAAGATTGTGACCTGCGTGGGTAATGAGGGATGCTGCTGCTGGTCGTCTTTTACTGATGATGGTTTATGTAGCACCAGTGTGTGTAATCAGTCAAGCCTTGCTCACTAGAAAACTGATTTTGTTAGAATGGGACATTTTAAAAGACTACCAGGGAAGATTTTTGTTTTCAGAAATGTCTCCATGAGACGACTTGTTTATTTATTTATTTAATGCTGAATGAGAAAATATATTCTTATTTAGATTTCTTTTTATATTTATTTGTTTTTTTTATTTGTGTGTTTTTTAAATTTTTTAAATAAATTTTTTTTTTTTTTTAGTTAATTTATATTTATTGATTTCCTATTGAAGCCTTGCTCACTATAAAACATTTTATTCTAATGTGAAATTTTTACTAGAGAAGATTTTTTTTTTAAAGTCTTGCCTGGGAAGGCAAAATTTTTTATATGTATTTATTTATTATACTGAATGGGAAAATCTTTAATTTTAATATTTATTATTTTAATATTAATTTGATTTTTTTATATATATATATATATTTTTATAAATTTTTATTTGATAGTTTATTTATTTTATTTATTTATTATATTCGTTTTTACTTCTATTACGTTGATGTCTTTTTTTACATTTGTGTTATCTTTTTGTTTATTTTATTATACATTTTTATTTGATCTTTGTTTTTGTGTTATTAAATATATTTGCGTTTTTAATATGCATTTTACTTATTGTTGTGATCTCTTGAAGCCTTACTTGCTATAAAACTAATTTGACATTTTAAAGAGAAGTAGAGAAGTGTTTTTAAAAATGTCTGCCTGGCAAGACTTATTTTATTCATTCATTATATGTACTGAACATGTGAATCTTATCTAATGTCTTTTATGTTTGTTTATTTATATTTATTTGGTTATTTTATTTATAAATTTTTTATTAATTATTTTTTATTTGTTTAAATGTATTTATTTGTATTTTATATAATTATTTATTTTAACTTATTTATATCATATTATGTTATTTTATGTTATGATGTCTTATTTAAGCCTTGCTATAAAATATTTTATTGATATGAAATTTTAAAGACTTGACTGTTTTTTTATTTTAAAAATGTCTCCCTGGGTAGACTTACTATATATTAATTATTTACTATATATAAACTGAATGGGAAAATCTTATCTAATGTCTTTAATTAAACGTTTTTGTTTTATGTTTGTTTAAATGTTTGATTTAGATTTGATTGTTTTAATTGTTATATATTGCTATTTATTTATTTTTGTTTTTATTTTTTTTATACATTTTTCATGTTCATTATATATTATTTATTATATTTACTGAATAGGAAAATATTATCTAATGTCTTTATTTTACATTTATTTGTTTATTTTTTTACATGTATAATTTTGTTTTAATTTAATGATGCTAGCTTTATATATTGCTATTTATTTATTTTTACGTATTTATTTTTTTGTTTGTTTATTATATATTTTAATTATATTTCCTGAATTTGAAAATCTTATCTTTTATATATTTTTCTATACTTTATGTACTTTTTATTTAGTTTATATTTATTTTTGTATTTTAAATTTTGTGATTTATTTTTATTATATATTTATGTATTGCTATATTTTTATGCATTTATTTTATTTTTTTATATTCATATGTTTTTATTTTTAATCTTGTTAATTTTGCTTTACTTATTTATTTGTCAGCTCTTATTAATATTGTATATGTTTTTTTTTTTTTTTTGATCTATATTGGTCTTGCCATGAAATGAAAAGCCATAAGTTGCTGATGTGGCAAAAAACTAAAATATATACAGATGATGGTTTATGTACCATTAGTGCTTAATCACTGTCAAGCTTTGCTCACTATAAAACAGATTTTATAAGAATGGGAAATTTTAAGAGTACTAGAAAAGATGGTTATCATTTACTTATTTGGAAAATCTAATCTAATGTTTTTTTTTTAATTATTATTAATTAATTTTTAAGGATGGGGAAAATCTTATCTGTTCATTTATTTTTGTTTTATTTGTTAGTTTATTTAGTTTTTATTTATTTATTTTAATTTATTTTCATAGATTTATTTGTATTTTCATTTATTTATTGTATATTTACTATTTATTTTTCATCTCTTATTGAGCTATAAGCTTGTAATTATTATGTAATTTGTTTTATCTATTGATCTTGCCATGGAATGGCAATAAGTTTATGTTATGTTTTGATTTTAAGATTATAAGACATAAGATTATGTTTTGACGAGGTGAGATGAGGTTATGGTTCAGGCGAGTGTTGTGGAAGTGAAAGGGTGAATTGTGCTTCTGAATGCTGCTCAAGTGTCTTCAGCTGAACTCTCGCTCTTTGTGCTGCTGCGATTCAGCTTTTTGGGGTTTCTTTCCAAGCATTCGGTGTAAGATTAGAGATTACTGAAGTCTTAGGAAACTGGAAAATATCCATGATTGATTTTAAAATGTGATTCTTTAAGCTTTAAATGAGATTTGTGGAAGTGACTGTAACTATCTAGAAAAATAATGTTGCGTTTAATTTGTCTGAATATTTTGAAATTATTGCAGTTTAAATTAACTTATTTTAATATTTTTTAAAGGGGAATTTATTCCTGTAGTGCTGTAGTTTTTCTCCAAGTTTTCTCAAGAGTGGTTTAGCAAACATTTCTGTTTTTTTATCAATTTTGAAAACTGTTGTGCTGCTGAATATTTTTGTGGAATCTTTAATTTGTATTTGTAAGATTTCTTAAATTTAAAAAGTTCAAAATAACAGCATTAACAAGAAAATCATTTGTAATATTGTAAATATCTTTACCCTTAAAAAAGAAATGTAACCTTTTAGAATAGATTTATTTATTTTAAAATAAATTAATCTTACAACTTTAGATGCTTAACCTTAATTAGACCCATTAATTAGAATAAAGCCATGAAATGTTGTATATTTAATCAATTTAGCTTTTGATTTATATTGGCATATAAGTGAAAGGCACTTAATTTGTCAACACATTTAATTTGCCAAAATGATTTTAGATACACAAAAAGCAAATTAAATGCAAGTGAAGTCTTAATCTGTCAAGAAATTGTCAAAATAAAATGATAATATAAAATATTCCCTCACCGAACATAACAGATATTAATGTAAAAATAAACGTCTGGCTCAAGCTTATTAAAGCATATAAAGGTTTGAGTGATCGTATTAACATTACTGTGACATATTTAGATATTTTAAATACCTTGTGAATAAATGGGGTACATCATGGTTGAAGTCAGAATTAGCCCCCAATTGATTTTTTTTTTCTTTTCCTTTTTAAATATTTCTAAAATGATGTTTATCAGAGCAAGGAAATTTTCACTGTCAATGATTTTTCTTCTGGAGAAATTTTGTCTGGAATAAAAGCAGTTATTAATTTTTTTTTTAAACATTGAGGTCAAATATTAGTAGCCCCTTAAGCAATTTTTTTTCAGTAGTTTACAGAACAAACCATCGTTATACAATAACTTGCCTAATTAGCCTAACCTACCTAGTTAACCTAGTTAAGCCTTTAAATGTCACTTTAAGCTGTATAGAAGTGTCTTGAAAAACATCTAGTCAAATATTATTTACTGTCATCAAGACAAAGATCAAATAAATCGGTTTTTAGAAGTGAGGTATTAAAACTATTATGTTTAAAAATGTGTTGAAAAATCTTCTCTTCATTAAACAGAAATTGTGGGGGAAAAAAAAAAAAAGAAAATATATATATATATATATATATATATATATATATATATATATATATTTTACCGAGTGTCTTGTTAATCATGAAAAGTTATTTTTCAATAAGGGTTTCATATATAAAATCTATATTATATTTTATAAAATATAGATCTTATATAATAATATATTTTTTAGATGATACATTTAGCCTATATTACAATTACGATTATTATTATTATTATTTATTTTTATTTTATTTTTTTTAAACCAAGTATCATCTTTTAGTCATGGAAAGTTATTTTTAAATTAGGGTTTCAATAATATATAAAATGTATATTATATTTTATAAATTACAGATCTTATATAATGATATATTTTATTTTTACATTAAATATTTAACCTTTATTATATTTATATTGTAAATTATTATTATTTTTATTATTATTATTATTTTTTTTTACCAAGTGTGGTCTATTAGTCACAAAGTTGTCTGTTTTTTTCCTTCATTGCCTTCATGTGTGTTTTGTGCAGGTTCCAGCAGGGATCTCATGGTTGGGATCGAGCCATGCAGAACCAGGGCTCTTCATACCAGCAGAACCAGCAGAGGGGACGAGGAGACTGGAGACCCCAACAAAACCAGCAGGTCTGAGCCCCTTACTCACAAAACATATCCCTAAATTAGCAGTTTTCCATATTTTCTGATTCGTGTTTTTACTCTTCCACATTTGTTTATGCTTTTGCATTATGGGACCTTAATCTTTCTTTCAACCACTTGTACCATTGAGAGGTTCATAAAAGTGACTTTCATTAGCATGGTTAATTGTTTAATGTGCTATATTGTCTGGGTTGGTGTTGTATATCACGCTACAAACACATTGTAATAAAGTGACAGTGCATTTTCTGTTATTTTACAGACTTCTCTATATATACGTCATCATTTTAATCCACTAAAAATGTTAATTAAAGTCACTTTGTTGCTCTTAACATTTCTGTAAAACCCTGCCCAATAATTGCAATCTTTGTTTCACCTCCTACTGATATAAGCATCATATTGACGTTATCGCTTTGGCCTCATTACTAGCTAGATGGCAAATATTGCTAAATTGAAAACCCTTGTGTGCTCCTTTAAATCAGTCCTGGTTTTTTTTTTTTTTTTTTTTTCTCATTTAGAAAAAATGAAATACTCCATCAGGGACTCTGCTAGTTTATTTTATAAAAAGTGGAGCCCAGTGATTTTCTTTTGTTGAGACCTTACCCCGTTCTACCCCTTAGCCCTTCCCCTTACCCAATTATCTTTAGCTAGAGCTAAGGGAAAAGGCTAGATAGCCCTTGAAACTGAGATTTTCCAGAACCACACTTGAAAATTTCCCAGAATACACCATCTACAACAGCAGCATCGCTGCACATGGAAGTCAGGAGATGCACATATTAGTGTTTTTTTGTCATGAATTTTTACAAAAAACAAGCACATGTTTTAATATATTCATAACCACGTTCATGTTTTGCCATCATGCTTTTTAAACACTGCTTAAATAAATTTTGCTATCTGTAATCTCTAATAGTAATCCTGTATGACAGTTCCACAGTCACTCTGAGGCTCGAATACCATGTCAGAAAAGTCTAGTGGCTGGGAATGAGCTTTGTACAGTGTCCGCTATAATGTTAATGTTGTTTTTGTGTGCAAATAGATGAATATGGTCATGGTGTAAATGCACAGTACAGTTACGATCTTATTGCCGCATTATGTTGTTATGATAACAAAATATACGCCGTCAGTGATTTCCTGAAGATTAATACCAAAAAATAGCACAACTGGAATAACTACAGCAGTCGCCATCGTCTGATCTCATGTGTAGCTAGAGATCATGATTACGTGACCAGGTGCTGTAGAGCTGTCCCAGTTCTTAGAGTGTGAAGGACTTAAAATTTTACCCCTGTTTCGAGGACTAAGGGGAAGGAATAAATAGAATTGCGATTAGGCCTGAGTTAAATCAACTTAAATCAACATGCCAGGCTATTATGGGTTGACTACATTTTTTTTATCTGTCATTCAACTGTAAAAAGTGATTAGTTGACTTTTATCGATTCAGCATCGATATCGCAATATGACCGTTCACAATAGTCACATCATAGGATATGCAATGTTGACTTTGCATTTTGTTGAATTAATTTTATTTTTAGAACTTTATTACTGTACCTGAATACTGTTAGACTAGTAAAACGACGAAACTGTTCAGTTGAATTGTGTTTTTCTTTATTGTATTAATGTGTGCTTGTAGATTGTATGCAGATGCTCTCCCATACAGAACAATCCCATGCAATCTGGTGAAATTGTATTCATACCACAATGTTGCAATGTTGTATTTCAGCCCTGCATAATCATAAAAGTTAAGTCAATTGTTGTACTTACTAAGTTGAATCAACTTGTTGCTTTTAAGGCGAGGGGTTTACTCACTTTTTAAAGTAAACTGAAGCCTAGTTTATACTTCTGCATTGAGTAATCTGCGTGAACCACAGCGCCTGTCTTCCGAGTAGCCATGCATTTATACTTCTGCGTGCTGTTTGTGTTCCTCTGCAGTAACACTTCTGAATCTCTTGCTTGCAGTAGGTTTTTATGTTCCTCTGTGTTGTTTCTTCGCTGGTGTTTTGTTTTTACTGAACGCTACCATAACGTACAAGTGGCTCAAACTTGTTTATTCAGAGGCGGAAACCGGCGGAAGTATAAATGCACGGCTACGCGCAAGACATGCGCCGTGGGTCACACCAATCTCTCGACGCAGAAGTATAAACCAGGCTTTAAGCTGCTGTTTTGGTGTATATTGCTTTATTGTTGCTTGTTGTTTTAATTGAACAATGCTGGATTTAACTACCGCTCTAATCTGATTGTCAAATTTAAGTCAAACTTTACCCCTAAACATGTGGTTGTATAGGCTTAATATGCTGAGCGCTAATATATTTCATATCCTAAAGTGCTTGATTAGTTTGATCAGGTGTGTTTAATTAGCGTTGGAACTAAACTGTGCTGAGCAGCAGCCCTCCAGGAACAGAGTTTGACACCTGTGAGCTATAGGGTCTGCTTGTTTTGACAAATAATTTAAAGTATGCGGCTAAGAAATTGCTTGTTTTTGATGGGGCAAGTGCGTTTTTATTTCTGCTAGGCCATTAAAAGGAAATCCTTAGCGTTTAGCCCTGTTTAAGTCTGAAATGTTATTCTTCATGGTCTTAAAAAGGTGTTAAGTTTTTAATTTGTTTCTAAAACACCTCTTTTTTTGTGTCTTAGGGCTTCAATTCTGGACGTGGGTATGGATTGCCTCCAGCCTCACGAAGATACAACTGGAACTAAGCTCAGTCTGATAAGGAAAAAAAATGCAACTTATTTTCTATTCCAAGCAAACATTGTCTCCTTTTTTTGGCCTGTTGATTTGTAAACTTTTTTTTTTTTCTCTCATTGTTTTACTGATCAAATGTTCTTATGTATTAACTTTTAAGAATATGCTGTAAAGCTTATGAAATACACATGAGACAAGCCTGATTTTGAGATTTTTATTTTATTTCGTGTGTGTGTGTGTGTGTGTGTGTGTGTGTGTGTGTGTGTGTGTGTGTGTGTGTGTGTGTGCGCATATTTTAGGTTTTCATTTGATTCTCAATTTTGATGCAGATCAGTTTATAAAAACTCCTAATTCGTTACTGTGTCAGTTTGTGTAGTGTGTTAATCTTTAAATGAATATTCATAGCTTATCTCTTGGTGATTATAGATGCAGATCAACAACAATGAGAGTGTTTAAAGGAGTCTTGAATTAATTAATTGGTTAAACAATAATAGTAATAGATATGGCTGGCACGTGTGAATATCATGAGTAAATCTGCTCCTGTTTAAGTAGAGCTACACTTTTGAGTTTATTAACATTTTGAAATGTGTATATATAATTTACAGTTTGATTTCAATGATGATATACATTTTAGGTCAAATCTAAATGCGCATTTCATTTTTTTTTATTGCTACTCGTTAAAGTTTTTGTATTTTAGGCTTTAATGCCCATTTATTTTAATTGTTTCCATGCCTTACATTAAAATTGGATTAAACGATGCAAAAACAACTTTAATTCACAACACATTCTCTATTAGGCTAATATTTTGTTGACATTTTTTCCTTATGTTATTATGTTGTTGTTAAATGTAGATTTAGCGGGGCAAAAAGTTGACATTTCTCAAGGTTTAAGACTTTTGCTGAAGCTTCCTTAAGACTTCTTTGTTTTAGTTTCGTAAATTGTGAAACAAACTTTGATTTCCTGATTAAATGTTTGATTAAAACACATTTTAAGAACGTTTAAAAAAATCCGAGTCACTTATTTTTGGTTGAAACTGCCGCGAAATATTTGTTTCGCTCAAACGGAGACGTAATAAGCTAGATATCTTTGCTATGGAACAGACAAACGTGGATATTTGAGTCCCTAAACTGAATTGCTGACCTATTTTACAATCTTAATTACGTTATTTAAACTATTTAACAACAGCTTTTAATGCCTTAAAATTCCCTTCGGTCTGGATTCTAATAACCAAGGGTGTAGATTCGCTCTTGACATTGGTGGGGATATACATCCCTAGAGGACATGCATTGAACAGCACAAATTCTGTTTCGCCCTTTTAAAATATTACTAAAGTACTTAATGATATAAAATAAACACTTAATAAAATTAACAATCGTGTCCCATGCTGTAAAAGTCAATTTACATGATTTTACTGCAGTCCGAGCGGAGGAATGAATGTAGAGAAATTTAGAGAGGTGTGTGATGCAGTTTCGCTGTTTTATCTCGATTGTTTTTCATAGGCACATAGGCCATAATCAAACAGAATTTTAATTAATTGCACTGCCTTGGTTGATAGTATTAAGATGAACCAGCAGCGACCTTGGTGCACGTGTAGGTTAGGAGTTGAAGGAGCATTACTTTATTTTAAAGTCGATTAAATTATAGGGACATTTCAGTAATTGTTTGATATTCGTAGGTACACGTGCCCTTCGTCCATGCCAATTCTACACCCTTGCTAATAACTGGAAGTTGTAACTGTATATTAAAGTATATTGTAAAGGGTGTAGAATTTGAGACGGAGGGGACATGTCCCCCATAATATCTAACAATTACTGAAATATCCCTACCAATAATTTAATCAACTTCAAAGTAGTCTGATGCTCCTTCAACTCTTAACCTACACGTGCACCAAGTCAAGTTTGCTGCTAGTTCACCGTAGTACTATTAACCAAGGCAGTGCAATTAATTAAAATTCAGTTTCGATTTTGGCCTCCATGATTAAGAAAAGCAATAATCAAGATAAAGCAGTTCTGCATCACACACCTCTCTAAATTTCTCTGTTCACACCTCCTCAAGGCCCTACTGCAGTAAAATCATGTAACTTGACTTCTGCAGCATGGGACGGGATTGTTATTTGTATTAAGTGTTTATTTATATTTTTAAGTATGTTATTCGTGTTTTTAAAAGCTCGAAACAGAATGTGTGCTGTTCATGCGCTTTAGGGATGTGTGTCCGTCCCTACCAATGACGAGAGCGAATCTGAGCCCTTGGTATTTTTACTCTAACTACACTGCAAAAAAAGAGAAGAAATATGATAAATAATTCCTGACAGCATATGTTTTAGCTCATTGTAACTTTTTAAACTTAGTTAATCATGTTCTTAATTGTGTAAGTTGCGCAAGCTGTTTTAAGTCAGTTTAACAAGTTCAATGGACTCATACGGTTTAATTTAATTCAGCTTAATTTAAGACAACCATGATTTTTTACAGTGTGTAAGTACTGAATTAACTATGAACAGAGGCCTATCAGTCCCCTCCATTTTAGAGAAAAACCATGTAGAAACGGGTAATAAATAATAAATGAACGTAAACTTTTGGATCTCATACAACTGCCCCTCCCACCACTTTAAAATATCCGCTACGCCCCTTGCTGGCAGTATTTGCACTAATTATATTAATAATAATTTCTAATAGACCAATAATTCAAAGAATGATGAATATAACTGCCGCTTGTTTGCTCCGTCACACTGTGTCGAACAAAACAGCTGTTTTTTCGCATTTGCAGCACTCATATTTATTGTTTGTCATTAAACTTACAAAAAAAAAAAACTCCAGGAAAGCATTCTTTGTGCAGTGTTAAATATTTACACAAAACATTTCTTCATCTAGGCCTACATCTTTTTTATTATGATTTATTATTATTATTTTACAAAGCATCAGGAAAAGATGTCTGATTAATGGCATCACACTAGACTAGTCTTCATCACACATCCCCTCGCTCAAACACACACACTCATGCGCGTGAAGGGTTTTAGTTGGTGTGATTTCACCAAGTAGGACGTTCCTGGATTAACATTTAAGGTTGATCCTGAAACATCGTATTCAGTCAATCAGATTAAATGGATGCTTTTACAGTTTGCTACACGTAGTTGTATTTTGCTGCTTTATCGAACTACTTGCATAAAATGAGTTGCAACAACACAATGCTTCTGTGTTGTTTGTGGGGAGACAATTTTGTTCAATTCACATGCATTGGTAAAAACGTTAAAAGTCAGGCCTAAATTAATCGATTTGTGTTGGGACAACATGAAGGAATTGTGCGGAAACCAGCATTTCTTTACACTAATATAGACCATTTCAATGTGGTGTAGCATTAGCCTATGAACATTTCCTGCTTCTTATCAAACTATTTCTTAATTGTAACGAGGCAATTCAACCATAGATTAATGTTAAAACAGCTATCATAACATTTTCAATGTGTGTCTCGTTTGGATTCTCTGAAGCGACAGAAATTAAAAATGTAAAACAGGACGTTGGGACCATTGATGTGTGGACCTTATCATAGTCTATAGGCTTGCAGTTAGGGTTATGAACATTTATTGCCGTCAAACTATTAATTCACTCTACATTTAGGGAATAATTTACAGTTAGAGGCACACTCAAAATGACTTTTTTTACTGTTTGCTTAAACTTATTTAAAATTAGTTGAAACACAATTAATTACACTAAAATGTTTTATGTTAAGTCCACTTAACGTTTTTTTTTTAAATTAACTTAATCGATTTGAGTTGGGACAACATGAATGAATTGTGCGGAACCAAGCCTTTTTTTACACACTAAAAATGCTTGGTTCCACACGGTTACTTCATGTTGTCCCAACACAAATAAATTACGTTAACTTAATTATTTTATATTCAATCCACTTAAATATGTAAAAACGATCAAGTCTTCTCCAAAAAAACCCCAAAATAATTGTGTTTCAACTTATTTTAAATTAGTTTAAACAAGCAACAAATGTCATTTTATTTTCAGTGCAACATTTCCTGCTTATCAAACTATTCCATAACTGTAACGAGGGATTTCAATCATAGCTTAATGTTAAAACAGCTATCATAACATCAATGTGTGTCTCGTTTGCATTCTCGGAAGCTATAGAAATTAAAAATGTAAAACCAACAGGACGTGAGACCATTGTTTATGTTTACCTAGGCTACCTCAAAATGGTCTATAGGCTCACAGTTATCCAGTTATCGTTCTGTTTTTAGGGAATAATTTACAGTTATATGTACACTAAAAATAATTTTACTGCTTGCTCAACGTAATGAAAATGTGTTGAAAACAATTAAACGACATCGTTTTTTAAGTGGACTTAACATGGGACAACATGAATGATGTGTGCGGAACACAGCATTTCTTTACACTAATATAGGCTCACAGATATGGTTATGAACAATCATTGTCATCCAACTATTAATCCGCTCTGATTTTAAGGAATACTATACAGTTCGGTTTGAGGTGCACTCAAAAGACTTTGACTGCTCAATCGACTTATTTAAAATGAGTTGAAGCAACACAATCCAACCCAAACTGTTTTATATTCAGTCCACTTAAATGTGTACGTTAACAATTACTTTATGTTGGACAACATGAAGCAATTGTGTGAAACCCTGCATTTTTAAGAGTAGGAATTAGCGATTAGGCCACATGAATGATGTTCCATGATCAACGATAGATGTTAATAACGATCGTAATCTACTTGTAAAAATCACACCCACCAAGTTTTTTTTTTCATTCAGTCAATAATGATTTAAACTCACAAATCCGTATACAATTCACGTCAAAGAGGCTCCTGCACCAAAAAGCAAGTGCGTAAAATAAAAAAACAATTCTTTAAAAAAAGGTCTTTGTGGAAATGCACATATCTCCGTCCGTCGGTTGATTAAAAATGAGGATTTTTTTTGTTGTTGTTGTAGTTTGTGAAATATCACCATGTTCTGCCGTACAGCAGGTTGGAGCTCACCATGCTGCTCGTGTACTCGATGAGCGCGGCGTCAGTCTGAGAGAGGCCGCCCATCAGAGGCGGACTAGGCGACATTTCCTCCAGATCCTCGGCTGAAGCTAAAGTCTCGCTGCCCAGGACGCTTTGCACCTGTTGATGGATCGGCGTCGGCGTGCCGGAGCCGTTCTGACACGGTTTACCGTCCTTAACAAGCACAGGCACGGCCACGCGCCTTGGCGACTGCTGCGCGCACATGTTCCCGCTGTCCTGCTGCTGGGACGCTTTATCCTTCGCCTCCCGCTTCATTTTGTACCTGTGGTTCTGGAACCAGATCTTGACCTGCGTCGGGGTTAGATGGATCATGCTGGCCAAATGTTCCCTCTCCGGGGCCGACAGGTATTTTTGCTGCTTGAAGCGGCGCTCCAGCTCGTATACCTGCGCTTGGGAGAAAAGCACGCGCCGTTTCCTGCGCGGCGCCGCGTGTAGAGTTACCATAGATTTACTGGCGTCCATTCCCGGTAACGTGCCCATGTTCATGCCCGCCGAGGGACCCATAAACCTGGAGACTTTAGAGAACAAGAAGATTAATATCAGTGCATGCATGATTAGGCAAACTTAAACTATTACGCGGTGCTTTTGGAAGGTAATTAAAAGCAGCCTGTACTCAAATTAATGGATGTACAATTACATTAAATGCATAAGATAGTATCCAATAACATACAAAAGGAGCTTAAAGTGGTAATTCATAACACAAAGTTTATTTGTATAGCACTTTTCACAGTAACTATTGTTTCAAATCTGCTTTACAATCATCAGTTGCGTTGCAATCAAATTCAGTAAAGTTAAGGTTATTAGTTGCCATACCTTTATTAATTACTAATAACCTGAACTAACTAGCTAGTAACTAATAACTTTTTAACAGTTAAAGTTAGTATAAACAATTAACTTGCAGTTATGTAGCATACAGGTGATGCCTTTGTGTACATGTCAATCGGTGCTCTTTGGGAAGGAATTCTTTAAGGTATGCAAACAAATAATCAGTCCAATGCATTTGAAAAAAATGTGGATTTTTTTTTAACCTTCATGGATTGCCTATTTAGTAAAATGAAAGCAGTGGACTGATTATTTGTTGGATAAATTGTTCGATATTTGTTTTATTTGCACAATAAAACCCGCTGTTGTCGTAGCCCAGTATTATTGGGTCAAATATGGACAAATAGAAGGTTGGTTAACCCAGTGGTTAGCTTTGTCTATATGTGACACTTCGATCTATTTTAGTGTACCAAGTGCTTAAAGGATGTATGAAAAAAATGTGCACGTATATGTAGACTGCACATTTTATAAATGCAAGTGGAAATACAAATGAGAGAGAATAATCTTTTTAAAAGATACAAACAAAAATAGAATTAAATAGGGGAATCTATCCTGATATCAATCTATATTTGGTAAAATATTAAAACCAGCCTTGGAGTTTAATGAAATGTTACATTTTATGCTACTATTTAGTTGTTTAACTCAGCAGTTGGGCTTGTTCATAATACATGCATTATTAGAGTGATCTAAATATGTATTCTGACATAAACTTGCTTTCAAAAACAGATTTTACAAATAATTACAAAGTGCCAAGAAGTCCCAATTCCACAAATAACTACAAAGATATTGCAACTAGTCGAATTAAACGTATGGTTTAAAAAACATCTCGTAAAAACCTTCTCAAGCGACATATTTTTATTGTTTAACTTTGACAAACTATCCATCCTTCCATCCATTCAATTCATGTTTATTTATACAGCGCTTTTACAATGTAAATTGTGTCAAAGCAGCTTAGCATAGAAGTTTTAGTAAATATATCTGTCTGTCTGTGTCTATCTAAAGTACCTATATGATCATATCATATCTTGTATAAGACCTTAAAAAGGTTATATATGCGCACATGACCGTTTGAAAGTATGTAAACAAATAACAGATGCATGTAAAGTAACAAACAATTGTAAATAATTATAAATAATAGACGAATGTAAGTTAGCATTCTAAATCTCTATAATCATGAGTGCGCTCCTCTGACTCACTTGTCCGCGTGTAAACAAATAACAGATGCATGAAAAATAATTATCATGAACAATAGTAAATTACTAATTTACGAATGCGTATACAAAAAAAGAGTTACGCAAGTAAAATTTAATCTAAAGGTCTAAACTTGTGTGCGTAACAACGAATGAGTCCATGCGCTCATCTGACTCTTATGTAAACAAACAACAGATGCATGTAAAATAATAAACAATTGTACAGAATAAATATATAGGCTAATTGATGAATGTATTTAAAAACAAAAAATAAGGTAAATTATAATTTAATGCTTTAAACTTGTATGCGTAATAAGTCCATGTGATCACCTAACTCACTTGTCTCTGTAAACAAATAACAGATGCATGTAAAATAGTATTATTACTAAACAAGTGTAAATAATAGAATAGTATTTGACGAATGTATGTAGCCTAATAATAAAAAATAAGTTAAATTCCAATCTCAAGCGCTAAACTTGAGTGCGTAACCGAATGAGTGCATGCTCATCTGACTCGTCCCTACGTAAACAAATAGCAGATGCATGTAAAATAATAATAAACAATTGTAAATTATAATTTTCCCAGTCCTGGGTTGCGGCTGGAAGGGCATCCGCTGCGTAAAACTTATGCCGGAATATTTGGCGGTTCAATCCGCTGTGCCGACTCCTGATAAATAAGGGAATAAGCTGAAGGAAAACGAATGAATATAAATAATAATATATAATTGACAAATGCATGCAATAATTGACAATAAATACATGAAATTCTAATCTAAAGCGATCTAAACGTGTCTGCGCATTGACCGAACGAGTGCACGCGCTCATCCCACTCACTTGTTGGGTATCTCGGCTCCGGGTTCGAGCCGTACCAAGCCGTGGCCGTGGCGCCGTTTCTCATGCTCTCCTGGTAGGATGGCAGGTCCCCCATTGCACCGATAGTCCCGTTGCAATATCCGCCCATGGTGCTATGCGAGAACTGCGAGTGCGGCATGTGGTACGCGTTATGGCTCATGCTGTGCTGCTGCAAATTAGCCTGAGACACCTGACTCTGTCGATATAGAGGAGACGCCAGGCTCGCGCTGCTCTCCATGGCTGCAAACTTCTTGAAGGTCTCCTCGATCGGGCTCAAAATATCGCTCACTGAGAAAGGCGTTGAGTGTTTGGGGCTCAAGGACATGGTTCAGCCCGCGAGCAGGTTTGCTGAAGCTGCCACAAGCCCGTGGATGTGCGCGTGGTCCGCCGTGCGTAACCGCGTACTCTGAGGTCCGAATGTGCGCCCTTGGAGGAAGAGGCGAGTCCTGGACGCTCTTATTTCTGCCTTATTCCCGTCGGTCTGCTGGTTTACGACAAACTCAAGGGGCGGAGCATCGAACCCAACGAGCCATTGACATCCTAGTAATTGAAGAAATACTCACGGAGCGAAAGATACGCTAAGAATGCCATCAGAACGGCTCCGCTCGCAAATTTGTACCATTTTGAGCTTCCAAGTGCCGTCAGCTCCTTTTTTTTCTTTTCTTCTTTTTTTGCATCAATCTATCTAAGCTTTCGCATTATGATAAGTGGCGCTCACGATCTGAATTCTCCTCCAAACGTCGGAGATTTCTCTGTGTATAAACTTGAGAGCTCTGGCTGACATGTAATGCACCAGAATCGGACGGTCAGGTTGTACAATTTCACTGATGGTAGCATGATTTATAATGGTTTTGCAGGAGCATACGATGTTTATTTGGTTTGAGATTATACCAATCCATCAGTATACGTGTGGAGCTATTACTCGCGCACAAATGTCAAACAGTTATGGATCAGAATCATTTTAAAACAGTTTAAACTAATCTACAATTAAATTTAAATGTAAATTATAAATGCGTATTTGTTTTTATTCTGTTTAAGTTGCAAGTATATTGAGCAAGTGGCATTTTAGTAGCCTATGCAAATGGGGAACCCTTTAACCCAGAATATAAAGTCAGAGGGCATGGCCAAAAAACACAAAACAGTCTTCTGTTTCCAGCTCCTCATTTCGCAACGTGTAACTCCCGTTAACTGTTTAACTCCTGTTAAAAGATCGAGGGAAAAAGAAAAGCGTTTAAATTCTGAAGATTTCTATTTCCCGCGTTTTTTTGTGTGTGTGTGTGTCGGATGTAAAAGTAATCAAAGGCAGAGGAACGAACTGAAAGCTCACCAGGTAATACACTTTTGATACATAAGTAGCTAAGGCGATATAATAGGCTTTATTTTGGCAAATTCCCTAAAAACAAATAGTGCTTTGCAGGATGTTTTCCTAGCAGGTCAGAAATGTTTATTCAAATTCATTCGTGAATCGTGATAATTTGCATATCGAATGTTTTTGTACATAAAAATCTTTAACATTGCCGCGTTTGTTATTTAAATTAGCAAGAAGATTGTGCGCAAACTATTCAACCCAGAACAGTGATTATTTTTCGAAAACGAACAGTTTTTACCCCATGCAACTTGGTCTATATATATTAAGCTGTGTTTGCGTTAATAAATTAGATTCAGAAAAGGGAATATTTTAATTGTTTCGTGAATAATGAGACAAGCATGCATCAGGTTTCTTAAAAGCATTCACAATTGCTTTGCAAATAATGTCACGAAGCATTTGGAAAGAGCGGTCGATATAATGGAACGTACAACAACAATTAACACGATACAAATATTAATAGCAACAGTTAATATTATGATAATTAAATGTTTCATTAATTCGAGCAGATCCATGTTTTTTAGGCTGATGTGAGAAACCACGTTTTAATTTTAGCAGACATTTTAAAACGAATTATTAGACTCTAAATAAAGTGCTCGTTTATTTCAACCCAATTCTGGGTGCGATGCGGACTAACTCAACTGCTGGGTTAATTTTTAGAATTAAATTAATAGGACTATATTTATTCGAATGTTAGGGCTAATCCATATTTTAGCCAATTTGGGTTTAAAAAACACGTCGAGCTTAATTATATCATTATCTAATTCGATAATGACCTCAGTCGTTACAACTTAACTCAGTTTTATTTCTAGAGCACTTTCAACCAACCACAATGGGTACCAAAGTGCTGTACATATAAACACAAATGCAAACAAGCAAGGAGCTAAAATACATATGATTGAATACACATGATTAAAAGCTAAATAAAACCAGTGTGTTTTCAGTGACCTCTGAAACGACTCCAAAGTAGGAGATGTTCTTAAGGAGAAGTCTTGGAGCTGCTACTGAAAAGCTATATCAAGTGATCATGAAACAGTCGAAGAGAGTCGATCCTTGGAGCGTAGAGATCTCACGGGTTGATGTATTTTAATTAGCTCAGAAACAATAAAACACCAATGAAAATATTTTGTGCACAATTAGATCGTAATAGAGTAATTTAATATTTATATCCGCGAACAAAGCACAAAACAACAGCATTGTCTTTTATTTTTTCCTGCAAATCCTCCAGGTGTGCATATGGCAGCGCGGCGCTCTCGAGGACGCGCATTCCAGCCTGTGATGAGGTGAAAGGTCCAACGCAAGTGACAGAGCACTTAAACAGCCTTTCTTCTGCTGTCTCCCGCAATTAATGTTATTGAAGGACTGAAATGATGCTAATAGTTAGGCAGAAAGCCTCTGGCTGCGTGGAAACACATGTATCTGGGTAGTTTACTGCTGCATTATAATTGGAATGGCGTTTAATAAAATATCCAAGTTGAAAAGATAATCTGGAGAATTCCCTGCTGTGATTTTTTTTAATGAGGTAAGGTCCGATGATAATAAAATCATTAGCCTATCTAGCTGCATGTTTCTTTTTTGTGAGAGGATTTGCTTGAACTTAAAAAGATTTGAACTGAGCTGTAGGCCTATCGGTTCTTTGACACGGTTTTCTTATTATATAAATTTATTTCTAACTAAATGTCTTAGCTATAACTTATTATTTAATTTTTTTCTCTCTGAATATATGGTATTAATCATTTGTGTAAATATGCTTGCGAAAAGACTAACAGGAAGGCTCGAAATTGAATGCATGACATGCTTTCGACAAAATAAATTAAAATATGGGAAATTATTTATCACAATTTAATTTTCTGATACTTTAGATTAAATTTTTTATAAGTTGCATGGATATATGCATAAATATACATAGGACAAATATAGAGAACGGTAAATGCATTAATTTCCACTTGCATTTTAGACAGGTCATTTGAAAAGTGATCTTACAACTTATTTTTTCGTCGGGATTTTTTTTCAGCTTTCGTTTTGTCAGAATAAAAGCCAATTAATCTGTCTTTATCAAAAGATAAACATTAGACGATCGAAATAATTAGCATCTCGGATGAAATCAAATTATTAAGGTTTCACGAACAGATAAGATATGGTATTTTTGTTGGAATTTTGTTCGTTCACGATTATGTAATTGTGCATATTTATAACTTTTTCAAAACGTTTACCCTTAATTTATTTAAAAATAAATGCATCTATTTAGCTTTCTGTTAGGCTTATAAATATTAGTTATGAAATGTATACAAAAAGCTTTCAGTGTTTGGTCTAACTAATCGTGTCTTCAGTACGTTTTTTTTTTAGCTTTATCGTAAAAGCCTCAATAATATTTGACAAATATCCTACAAAAAATAAAGATGCATTATATAACAAAATGTCGAAAAACACAGGAAATAGATGTTATTTATGAATGAAAATGCTTGAGCAAAATGAACAATCGATTACGTTTTTTTTGTAAGACAAATATACGGATTTATAAAATATAGTCTTTATTTACAAAGCTAACAAAACATTAACAGACGTTTACGCTTCAGACAAACAAATTTCAACCAACTGTACATGCTTCAATTAATGTTTTGACCGATAGCTACATCAGTTTATTCAACACAAAATTTACTTTTAATTTCCACTTATATGCCTAGCCTATTACGTGAAATACACATTATCCTACGATAAATACTGTAACACTGAAAAATAAATTAACACATCGCTGTTCTCCATTCGTTTCTGTAAGAAAACTTAATTAAAATATGGTAATGCATTATTAATTTTAATTATGTAAAATGTCATAATATTGTTTTTAATATCTACAACATTTGTTAGTAGCGCTTTGTGTTTTGCATAGTATCTATAAACTAAATTATACTAAATGCACTAAATTAATTAGGATGAAATATGGACAAATACATTTTTTCCCTACTCATAATCTACACTGTAAAAAAATGCTGAGTCCCACACAAATCTGTCTTGTTGTCCCAACACAAAACGTTTAAGTTTACGCAATTATTTTTACACATTTAATGGGATTGAACATAAAACAATTAAGTTGTCCCCATAAAAAAAATCTCAAGAATTGTGTTGCTTCAGCTCATTTCAAATAAGTTGTTTGAACAAGCAACATAAATATTTCGTGTAGTCTTGTAGAATATTTCAATACGGTCATGTCATTGGCCCATGAACATTTCCTGCTTATCAAACTATTTCAACTGTAACAAGAGGCAAATCAGCCATAATTTAATATTAAAACAGCCACCATAACATTATTTATCAATACGTGGCTCTTTTTGGATTCACGAAAGCTACACTCAAAAATATTTTTGCTGCTTGTTCAAACTACTTATTTATAATGAGCTGAATCAACACAGTTATTTGTTTTTTTTTAGAATAACTTAAATATTTTATGTTTAATCAACTTAAATTTGAAAAAGCAATTAGGTTAACTTAACAACATGAAGGATTTGTGTGGAACTGCATTTTTACAGTGTGTAGAAATTAAAAATGTAAATCAGGATATACGTATGAACTATTGTTTTTGTTTACATTCCTCAGAATGGTTTATAGGCTTCCCAAAACATTAAAGCAGTCATTAATATGAATGAGATGCAAACCTAAACATTATCCAATCAGCGATCCTATAAACTGATTAAACATTTGAAGGAATACCACAGATCATCCAGCCATCAACAGCAACTGTTTTTTCCCCAATCCAAATATATCGAGAAGAAAGAGCTGGGTTTTTAGGCCATGCTCTCTGCTGAATTCACATCTGACCTCTAATCTCCTCCCCCTCTTCAGCAGGCTTTCCACCGCTCTTTCTCACACACCTACCCACCTTCTCTCTCTCGCTCTCTCTCTCTCTCTCTTTCTTTTGTCCTTCGTCTTCCCCATCACCTAAAGTAGCAGATCTGCGGCTCTTTCTTTCTTTCTTTCTTTCTTTCTCTCTCTGAGTTTAAATGAGGAGAGCAGCTGAGCTCCTGCGGGATTTTAAGAGGTGACCCACTCGGCCCGCTTTAAAGGCCCGGTTCAGGCCACCTGGCGGCCCCGCATCACCCCATCAAACTACTCCCTCTTTCTGACGCTTTGCTTCCTTAATCTGCGGTGTGCTGTATATTATAAAAGCTGTAGACGTCCATTTAGATTTGATCATTATTTGATTATAATCTAATCTAGAATGATCTGTACGTGTGCCAGTGTGTGTGGATAGATAGATAGATAGATAGATAGATAGATAGATAGATAGATAGATAGATAGATAGATAGATAGATAGATAGATAGATAGATAGATAGATAGATAGATAGATAGATAGATAGATCACTGTGTCAGTTGTGCACATCAGAAAAGCTGTTCCTCATTTCTTTGAATAAGTTGCAAGTGCTTGCGTACATCCATGCAAATGGTTTTGAGCTTTTCTCTGATGTTTCCTACCAATTGCTTATGTCATGTTGATAAAAATGAATCATTTTGGTCTCTGTCTTAGTCTCACCCCCACAACATTTAATCATTTGTTGATGGCATAAATCTTCACATGCAAAATGGCTGAACAAGTTGTCATATTATTTTGTCATAATGCATAATTCATTTAGACCTTTTTTCTAAATCGATCTACAATTATTAAATTTCTCCCATCAGGTAAATCTTCCTTCTAATGAAGATGCATCTCAGAGGAGACTCATATGTTCACATTTCTACTTTTGTTTTGCTTTTTCTTTGTGCTATGTACTGCTGTCTTTTCCTTTCTGTATCACAATGACATTATCTTTCATGTCAAAGTTTACATCAGACAGCCCTCCAGAGTACACTGCTATATTGACAACATGACTAAGTAATTAGACTGTCTGATCCGTACACAAGGACTTGTCATTCTGACGCTACTGACACGTTCACTGATACAGAAATTCAGTTTTGAGAGATGAACTAAGGGTTTTGAGCAGAAAACTGCCTTTTGCTAATCTATGGTGTTTTGCTATTTGCTCGTGTTGTTTTGAGAAATGCACTTACTGTTTTGCAAAATTTCAATTCTGATCTGAGAAATGTTCCCAAGCAAAACTGTAAATATGGACAAACGCTGGGTTTTTATTTATTTATTTATTTATTTATTTTTCTACAGTTTTTCTCAGTGGCTTTGGTGCATTTCGCACAACACTATTTACATTTGCACAACAGCTCATGCATTTCTCTAAACAGTAAGTACAAACTGCAATAGTTGATAACCTGCAAAAGGGTGTCACTTGCTCAAAATGGAGAGCTCATTCCTCAAAAGCAAGTATTGATGTCAATGAAAGTGTCTGTGTCATCAAGATGAAAAGTCCTGACACCATTGTTTGTGAACAAGATAGTCAAATGGCTTTGTCGTGTTTTCATTATGACAGTTTTACTCTGTGCATTTTTTTCCAATGCAAAAAAGTCCGATTTTGGTGACACTTCCTGAAAATGCTCAAGACAGCATACTATTTGCACGGCCATTTGAAAACTACAGTGAAGTTAGACATCACTGCGTTTAGTGAGGAAACTGAGTACAACACACTATGTATGCTTCAAATTTTTACTGCATTTTGTCTTTACAATTCTACTTTATTCTTAGCATTTTGCAAAAGAATAAACACACCCTTATTTACAACAAACATAAACTCCCTTTGGGTAGAGCTGAGCACAACTGTAAACAATATTGCAGAACATATTAGAACTGAAACTACAACATACACAGGTCTGTAAATCATTCATGAAGTTGTTCTATCCAGAAGACATTTTCAGCAAAAAAAATTATTATTTTTTTTAAATAAAATCAGCTAGACAGATTTTGACTACTAGTTCAACATTTTAGTATGTAATGCCTCAGAAATGAGGACTACTAGTTTTATATGGAATGACTATTCAGCATTCACAAGTTTAGTTCATTTAACTGACATAACAAGCAAATGAAAATGTTATAAACAGCAGAGTTGTATGAAAGAAATTGATTTCCAACAGCATTTGGAATTTGTTGGAAGGAATGAGAAACTGCTACTATGATGTGCACAAATGACTAGTTGTTTTGAGAAATGCATTAACTGTTGTGCAGATGTAGACAGTGTTGTGAGAAATGCACCAAAGCCACTGAGAAAAACTTTAATTGAAAGCCTAAATTTGGGGGTTTGTACATATTTCACCAAAATCCTGGGTTGAAATAAATGGTGCAAAAAAATATTTTTTACACATAATTTAGTGGTAAATGTAATAATTTCAAAATCAAAGACTATAGTGTATTTACAAACGCCAAAAAGCATTTAGAAGCATAAGTAAATAGAACAAAATAAATAATATGTGTATAAGATGTGAATTGCTGAAGTGTAAACATTTAAAATATTTATTATATTACCTGCAAGTAAAGACATGCAAGTACAAAGGACCATACGGTAAACAAAATGGTTTGAGAGACCATAATCTGAAATGAAATAATTAGGTC